CTTTATATTTATCAAGGAGGATTGCAAAGTACTCAAGAAGCTATACATTATGGAGTACCACTTCTCGGTATGCCAATATTTTCCGATCAAGAAAATCAAATAAAAATAGCAATAAATCATGGTATTGCAAAACGTTTAAATATTGAAACTTTGACGAGAGATGAATTGAAATTTGCTATTCAAGAAATGATTAATAATAAACAGTAAGTATTAAAAGCAAAAAATATTTGAAGAATTAATAACAGATAAAAAATAATTGACAAAAATTGTTTCATCAAATTAGAAATTTAAATAGTTCAAAATCAATATTTTTAAGACTTATGCTTATATAATGGATTTGTATTGTATTTGCATTATATATGTAAAAAACTATGAAAAACTATAAAAAAACTTACTTAAATGTAATTAAATAGATATCCTAATCTATTTTAATATATAATATACGTATTTTTTTAATACTTAATATTTATATATTCTATTTTAATATTTTTAATGATGATTTTTTTTTGCAATTAGCAAAAAAAAATGCAAAAATATTTCAGTTTTACAAAATACATATGAATAGCATATAAATATTTATCGATATTATTCATAATTTTTCTATTTTAAATTCAAATTTATTTATTTATAAATTAATAAATTTGTTAAAATTTGTAATGGACATTTTCAGTTTTATTTTATATTTAATATATAACTTATAATTAATTCTTCAATTTTATGTTTCAGATATAGGAAAAATATAATAAATCTTCGAAAGCTTATCAATGATTTGCCATACGATTCATTGAATACTCTTATTTGGTGGACAGAGTACGTGATTCGACACAAAGGAGCTCCATATTTTCGAAGCAATTTGGCTTGGCAATCATGGTATCAATACTGCGATAACGATATTATAGTATTTTTAAGTTTCACAGTATTTTTAATTGTTTATTTTATAATTAAAATCATTAGAAAGCTTATTTTATACATGCATAAACTTTCTATTGATCAGAAGAAGAAAAAAAATTAATTTTCCATTTGATATAAAATATTAAAAATGAATGATTTCAAAATAATAAATGTATTGTTCGTGACATAAATTTTTTTTTAGATTAGCAGTATATTTATTTAATGATCACAAATAATATACATAATCATAATGTCGATATA